GCAATGTCATTATAATGCATAACGCATAACGCTGCGAATGTTACGCGGAATCAACGTATCTGCGTCAATGCTCGAACGTCGTGTGTGCAGGCTCGACAACTCGCGGGTATTTATTATACACGGCTGTAGATCTCGCGAGAAGTCGCGTTATTCTTTATAGAATAAATGTAAATAATGCAAATAGAGATAAATATTCTCTCGTAAAAAAGATTCGGCGAGGCTTTCCAACCGCGAAAGATAATTAGTTTGAATCGAGGCTCGAAGGCGCTGAGATAAATCCTTTCTTAATAATTAAATGCTTAATAATTATATACATAAAGATGAAAATGATTAAAGGCGTGAAAAGGTTGAGGATTAAAAACACAAAATAAATAATATGCTTTATATTATTATTTCTTAATCAATACCTTTACTCCTCTAAATGTATTCTACCGAATTTTTCTGCTAATTGCGTCGATAGCAATCTAAGTTATCTATAATTCTACACAATTAGGTATGTCAGAATAAACTGAAAATCAATATTCATAATCTTGTACTTAATCAAAGGTACATGCAAATTTTACGTAGAAAGCGATCGGTAAATGATCAGATTGAAACCCTCCGATTTTACCTTTGACTTCGAAATCTGAGAAAGCATAGTAAATCCAAACATGCATGACCCCGCAAAATTGGCTTTCGCTGCGCGCGGAAAGACAAATGTATCCGCGTCGTGAGAATTGAAAGCGCCGCGAGATAAGTCCCGTGTCCTTTTTCCGCGAGAGAAATACGGTCACGCGGAGGAATCCTTGACCTTCTCACGACGTTTTGTTAATCGTTTCTAAGTTGAGATTTTGCGTCGAGATCGTCAAAAGACACGCAAGCCGCGATCGATCGCGAACCCTCCTCCGCGTATACCGCATGCAAAGCCGAAAGCGCCGTGTGTGCATGGTAACGACGCTCGCAATGCATCATGCGCAAAAGACTGACTTTGTTATTATTCAACCCCTTATTATCCTCCAATGTCACGTCCGCCCCACGAAATTCGCGGAGTACTTATATCTTTAAAGCGGAATCAATTGTCGGTATTCGTACAAGTTTCCTGGACACGCAATGGCATATCGTCAATGGAGTTAGTTAAATCAGTAATTTAAATTTCTATCGCGTATTTATAATTTTATATTTAGTTTCATGATATTAAAAAAAGAAGGGAGAAAGGGAGAAAAACATAGAGGTATTTTGCCTAGTCATTTCTGGACGTAGAGAGTGAGTCCCTACGTTATTTGTTAAGAATATAAACAAATTATATATTCAAGTAACTTTATCGTACTCCGAGAAGAATACTGTCGCAACTCAAAAGTTCATAATTTTCAGGAGAAAAAAAACTAAACAAACATTCCAATTTTTTTGAATTGTGAGATAACTAACACAATTACAATTATAATATCTTGTTATAATAAAATTTATACTGTTTCTTGAAAAGGTCTACTGTGATTCACTTGTCAATTCATTTGTGACGCTATTCACCCAGGAAATCGCAACATAGCCAGTCTAATAAAAGAATAACGACATCTGCCTCATGCAGCGAGGTTTTGCTCGTTATAAATAATATATTGTACTTCCATTATTATGAATTCAGAGAAAACAGGATTTAAAGTTTTTAAATAAGAAAATGATATTTTTTTAGATATAAAATAAAAGGAGCAACTTGATTTATTTTTAATAGTTAATAAATAGTCAATAACACGCTGTAGGTTTAAAAATTAGGCTATAAACATTTTCATTACGACTTTTTCTAAACATTGTATTTTAGGAACTGGTGATAATCTAATAATAGATATAAGACGCTTTACAATTTAAGCTCCTGTTACGTTGAAAAATGTATTAACTCCATTTTGACAAAAACTGGAGATGCGATTCTTTACCTCTGAGGTACAGGTATAGACTTGCAACACTATTATAGCACGTAGATAACATTTTAGGCATACTTTTGAGTTGTGACAGCATTCTTCTCGGCATACGATATGTAAATAAAAAGCAAGGGGGTGGGGGGGTGAGAGGGAAGAGTTGCGACTGCACGCGCAAGCCGTTCGCGCCGGCGCGCGATCCCTCTCGCGTGACACTCTCCAAATATATACACAAAAATGCAGGGACAAAGAATGCGCTCAGCACAAATCGGCCAACGACGCATTTAAATGCGCGAGAGGCATTTAAAAAAAAAACCCCCCGTCGAAAGGGATTTAAATCGCCAGACGCGTGTCGATTCGCGATACGCTCGTCGCGTGTCGCGAAACTCGTCTCGCTATATTAATAGCCCCGAAGCTGAATCAAAATAGAATTAGAACGATGGAATAGGACAGCACCTTCCGCGTTTATCTCAGCGTCGGATCATCGCACGCGACACGAGAGCGATCGGACGACGCGACGCGGGAGGGTCGCGGAAGGGTTGAGTCGACGAGTTTCGCGGACGGGACGAGATGACAGTAGGACTAAATTCGGCACTCAGATTAAATTCGGCACTTACTTAACGGGAGCGATGCGTCCTATCTGGCGAGACGACGCGGAGCCATCGTCGTCGCCGTTCTCGCCGTTCGCCACGTCCGTGGGGGGATGCACCGCGGCGCGGGCGGCATGGCACTCTTTCTCACCGGTGCCCTTCGGCGGGTACTTCGCGACGAGCCTGTAAGTCGCGGGACGATTCTCGATGTATTTCACACGAAGGTGACGCACCGCGCGCCGGTGGTGGTCGGCATCGCCGCCGCTGGCGTGGCGCGCGGGAACGACGCTGCGCGGCGGATCAAAGACGAGAGCCTTTTCGACCTTCCTCTCGCAATAATACGGCTGGCGGTTCGACACAAACGACGGACGGACACGGAGGACGCACGTCATTCCCGTGTAAGCAGGTTGCGCCTACGTCCCGCTCCGCGGCGCCTATTCCGCGCCCGCGAAACCACCTGATCGCCAACCGACGCAGGACACCCCGGGCGCCAGCTGGCCGAGGCCCGCCGGAGTGACGCGCGTCCCGCACGTCGTCGTTTCGTCCAGCCGTCGTCGTCTAGCGGCGACCGCGCGAACTGTTTGTAAACTCGCCGCTACGACGTCGATAACTGCGCGGCGCGTGGAGTTGCTCTTGTTCGGAATAACGAACGAGATATAATAAGAAATTAATGAAAATGGAGAGAAAATAGAGAACGAAAACGAAATTAAGCGTCGAGAACGACTCAGATCGATCATTCTAATAGATCTGATTGCGATTTCGATCGAGAATTCGTAAATTGAAAGTCTTATAAGATGTTATATTGTTATATGAACGCGAATCGAATTATTATTGTTTAAACATTAGTCTGTTTTGTTGATTATTTGATACTTTTTTATGCTTATTAATTTAATTTCAATATAATGTTCGTCGCAAGTTTGAAAGTTAATTTATTATAATGACGCGGTACTCTTGACAGGCGTTTCAAAATGGCTACATGCATATATATGATATTTTGCATGGAATAATCAATACCTGTCCATATTGATGCTTGTCCATGCGGCAAGTTGAGATAATCTTGACGGAGAAAGAGCGATATCTTGTACGCAGTAGATACGCCGTACATTTACACAGTCGCATGTCTGTTAAGTTAGCATGTACCCCTCCCCCCCCACAAAAAATCGGAATAACACATATACAGAAATTAAGTGCTTTTTATGTGCTAATTATGTGCTCTATTCATGATTTTTGTGCTCGAGCGGTTTCACGGGAAATCGCAATTAAAAGTGGGGGTGCTGGCTTACCCCCACCCCCACGCATTAAAATTAATTGATCCTTTAAATTCTCAAGTTCACTATTAGTATAAATACCGCTTGTTGCCAATGGTCCAGGATCATTTATATTGCCACGTAAGTTTACTGTTCGGTTTTATTATTGCTGGTGATTTGCTATTTCAAAATTGGTGTTATTCGATACCATCCGTCATTTAAAAGATACATTGTTGGAATTATATGGCTGCATGTAGTCTGTGTTTCTGTTTTAAACAAGATGTGAGTCCTTGGCGCTAAGAATATGTTTCATTTCCTTTAGATACCGGTAATTGTTGATAACATTCTTGCGTTTATCGATACTTAACGTCCACCGGAGTGCATTTAATTATATGTACGACTTCTCCTGAGATCACTGCCATATATCCGGGTCCTTTCATAATTTGATACGCAAAATCGTCTGGAGCATGGATCGCTAGGCTCAGTGCATTCTTCATTACTTGTCGTTCCAAGTTGCAGCGTTGTGTTAATACATCTGTATATAAACGGTTCATTTGTGTGCGTATGTGTTTTTCTACATAAATGAATTTCGAGTTTACATAAAATTATTTTTCAAACATTTTCTTACTACGTTGAACATATTAATTTAATACATGTAGAAACAACACACTTGGATTTACAGTGTATATGCGAACAAAGAACACATAAAAGAAAGGAAAAACATATATGGGCATATTTTGTTTATATATATTTTTATACATTTTTATATTAAAAAATTAAATATTTTTCATATATGTTTATACAAAAAAATTTTAATTGGATAAAATAAACCGAAATGTGTTCTTTAAAGTATATAGAATAATCAGAAGAACTTTCAAATTCGAAGCACGTTGCCCCAAATGGCGCGGCGTGCTTCTGATAAATCTCCCTTTCATTTCTAAAGCTCTCCGTCGCCGAAGAAAATAGTCGTCGCTCTAGTTGGAGCCGCGCCAGCAAACAACGCTGCTTTTTAAATTCATCGAATAACCTTGAGTTTCGTCGCGACGACACCGACAGGTAAAAGGCGATGGCACGCACCTGCCTGTCGAAGTTGGAAAATAATCGTAGAATTAATTGTAAGCAGCTGCGCTCATCGAACAGCTCTGCGCTCGAAATAATATGTCTGCGTTTGAACGCCGAAAGCCAAACGGTTGCGATAGGTCATGCAGCTGTACCGGGTTTTTGTCAAGTTATTCATAAATTTACGTAGAAGAGACAACATAACAGAAATGCTAGTTCTCGAATATCCTAATTATTCATTTTATTGATTCTACAATAGAGATTAGATATGTGTGTTGCATGTACGTTTCATATATAATAATGTTACAATATAAAAACACAGAGTCAACGAATTGCCGTATACAAATTGTCGTACATTGCAGCATAATCTTTGTATGTATAATAAATGTATTCTCTTACACTTAGTTGCGAAAACGTGTCTTCTAGAATTCTAGATCTATCTAAAACTTTTCCTAAAATATTCACACGTTTGAACTTTGAACGCAGAAGTAAACGCCGCTAATAATATCGTCACGCTGAGATATACCTACATATATACAGGGTGTTAATTCATGTGGTAGATAGTACACACAGTACCAAGTCTACTATCTACTATATAAATGCTGAATGCTTTTTTTTAACACCCTGTATATGTGAGTATACAAATATAATGCCGGTTGTATTAGGTATACGATTGGGATCTTGAGGGAGAGCCGCCGCAACTCCGTGACGATTAAGTAAATGGATGATATATATTATTAATGCGCACGTAGAGAGAATATCGATAAACGTGACATGTATTAAAAGCAGGTACGAGTCCGTCGAGGTAGACGTTCACGATTTGTTCTGCATATCGATCGCAGGAATGGCGACAACAGCGAAACGAATTCAGTGATTTATAAGTACGTCTAAAGTCTAAACTTCACTTCCACTCTTGGATAATTATTAAACGTTGAGTAGTTATCACTTTCCTTAATTATAATATATATACGTAAAAACAACGATTATTTGTAATTTCTGCTTTGGAAACATATTTTATATATGCACTTAGTTAAAGCTTATTGTTTATCTCTCTTTAATTGCAATGCGATCGTTTTTACTCAAAAGATACTAATACCATCGATTACATATAATTTTCGCAATATAAATTACTTTCCATTTGTCAACGAGAATTAATAAAACTATGTCTTCTACATATTATAACAAAATAAATAAAGTTTTAGATTATCTGCAATAATTAGGAAAACGCTCTCAAGATACATCATTAGAGATCCATATTATTACATAAAACAAATAAGAACAACACGCCAAGAGATATGGAATAATAAATTTTTCGTGTATTTCCAAGTACACAAATTTTTCCAACTTACTAAACTGCGTGCCAATTTTTTGTCGAACTTTAAAACACAGTTTTCGTTTCATCATTAAAATCCCTTACCCCTCCCCAATTAATTGATGCTACTATCAATAAACATCTAAAACACTGTAAAGAATTTATTGCGAAAAATATTACCTCAGCCAAAAATTTTTTACAGTGTTTTAGAGATTTATTAGCATCAATTAATCAGGGAGGCGTAGGGGATATTAATATTCCAACGAGAACTGTGTTTTAAAATCCGACAAAAAATCGGCACGCAGTTTAGTAAGTTGGAAAAATTTGTGTACTTGAAAATACACGAAAAATGTATTATTTCATATCTCATCTCGCTTTAATAACGGCGCGTTGCTCTTATGTAATGATATTGGTCTATCAGTTTGATATTAGATTATCAGTAAAATTGCAATTACTTAAACAATTCTGGTATCCTCCGGATCGTACCGAGATCGTACATACATCTTTGAATTATTTGATTATCGCGCGCCACATATGAGTATTTAATACAGAAAATTTATTTGCTCGAGGGGAGATTTTTTGTTTTCATGCAGTTTTCTTTTTAAGAGAAACAGTTATCGTAAAGTCTCAGTAAGGCACTTTCAAAACACATCAGACAGTCTCGTTACTTCTTCTTCTTCGGTTCGGTATCGAACTCAACTTTCTTTACCTCTTTTTCACTGTCGCTCTTCTCTTTATTAGCGTCGTTTTTCGAGTTTTCCTCCTCTTCCTCCTCCAGAAACTTGGACTCCAGTTCGTGCTTCTTCAGCTCCTCCTCCAGCAAGGCGTCCCAATCGGACATGTCTTTACCCTCGCGAACTCTTTCCAGCTCTCGCTTGAGCATGTCGAGGCATTCCCTTCGCTCCTTCCACTTCTCCGACATCTCGAGGCTCTTCTTCCCATCGTCGATCTGATCCAACATTTCCGCCCTTTCCTTCTCCTCACATTCTAGCACGTATTTTTCGTAACTCTCCACCTAAAGAACCCCATACGTTCATAATTTATTAATAATTATCTTACGAAATATTAAAAAGCTCTTATATTAAACGTTTTTAAACCGTTTTAAAAGATGGAGAATTAGATAAATCTTTGCTAATTTTTATTAATGTTTACAATCCTTATTCACTTCTACTAATGTAGATTAACTTTAAACTCGGTTGACTCACTTTTCATCTTTTTCTAATAGTTAGAATTAGAAAAAGATGAAGAGATTAAAGTTAATCCGCATTGTCAGAAATGGACATTAATAATGTGAATTGATTTGCGCATATGCATTGACTAAAAAAAAACCGAGTGATCAAATTGAGTTGAAAGATAGTCGAGTTCACCTTATCTTGCAACATTCTTTGAACGTCATTTTGCCTTTTCAGATGTTTCGGCAGCCAAAAGCAGGCCTGGATGAGCCGCAAAAATATCCAGACCGCTCCGGCGAGTGCCAGATAAGAGCAAGCGGTGAACACCATGTTCGTCATGTCTACGGTTACTTGTTGGTGCTTCATAATGATAATTAATTCGATTTACGTATTCCTGCAATAAGCACAGCAGTCAATGTGTGGAAATAATTCATAAAGCGACTTTCGTTTAAAAGCCGCTTGTAAGAATATGAATAACGATTTAGATAATAAAAAGTGAGTTAAACAATTTTGCTCAACAAAGACAACGTCTTGAGAAAATGTTTGTCGTTTGCCCAACTAAACAATAAAATATTGAAATTTCCTTAATTTTACGTGAGCAACAGATAAAAGCGATAACAGCAGATAAATATACCAAACTTAATTTATATATACAAAATTTAAAGGAAAATGTGTGCTTTTGCTCCACGACTTAAAAAGATGTTCGCCGATATATCTTCCGTTCAGACGATCCTCGTTCTTCATTCGACTCGTTAACTCGGCGACTCTTGTGCGAAACGCGCCATCGATTTTGCGATCAAATAACGCGTGCGATATTTCCCTTTTCCCATGTCTATCGCCGTTCACCCTAGTATTGCATAAGTATACCATTCACGAGAATCACGAGTTAGTGTACTACGTTGCAGTTGCAGACTCGGAAGCGATTACACGTGGTGATAAGTGACCTACTGCGGATCTTCGCTGTGTAGCTTTAAACGCGCCGCGAAGAAGAGACGTCGAAACCAGGTATCCCGCGCGGCGAAACGTATATATACGGACGTATTTAGGTTGATTCATTCCGATAGCGTCGGCGAATGGTTCCTCGACGGAAACGAGGTGTATTTTTCGATGACACATGACGTTTCGTAAATACAGCGTGCGCAGATGTGTCACGTCGCGGCATCTGTTTGGTTTGGTGCCTTCGCGGCCGTTGTGTATCGATTACACCCGTTCAGCGAAACGGAATGTAACATACGCGATATATGCGGCGCGTGAAAGAGAAAGCTTGAAATTTCCATTAAGATTTTTATCGCGGAGGATAAAATTATTGCGAATAATGCGAAGGGGAGCGGAGGAGATGATTTACGCATCGTGCCAGTGCTTTGCTACACTGAGAAAAAAATTTTCTGCATTTTAGTAAATATTAATTTGCATCGGACAGAAATTTAATACTGTAAAAGTCAGTGTAAGTGATGATTATTTGGCTATAGTGATTAATGATTTATTTTAAGTATTAAAAGCACTGTTTTTAATACTTAAAATAAGTAGGATAATTATAATCCTAGCCAAATAATTACTTACAGTATAAAATTTCTGTGAGGGATACAACTGTGACTCCATTTATTAAAATAAAGAAAAATTTTCTTTTTATTAGTATTTTTTTCTCAGTGAACACACATGTATACTAATAAAAAAGAATTTTTTCTTTATCTTAGTAAATGGAGTCACAGTTGTGACGCAGTTGTTCGCATATTAATATTTACCAAAATGCAGAAATTTTTTTCTCAGTGCAGGTCCTCCGCGATAGGAACTGCCGTCTGCACGACTTGCGCATTTTTTTATTGTGAGGATGGTGTGTTCACGTCACATACAATTATTTTCTGCGATTTTACTTTACTCACCATAATGACAAAGAATTCGACGTTTAATATAGTTACGGACGAACGTGTTTCGGACGCGTCGTGTACTCGGAAAAATGCACATAAAAAGAAAAATTCACTAAAAAATTCTAAACGAAAAATAACATAAATATTTGGAACGTGAAATTTGAATATTAAAATACAATAAGATTACAATAGATTCTTTGTGAGAAATTTATTAATAATAATGCTGCTTTAAATAATACGCGAAAAAATAATACAGTGAAAATAGAAACATCGATATAAATTAATGCAGCACTCACATTATAAAAGATATACTTAAATTAACTGTCAATTACATTTAAGTAAAAATAAGAAAAAGAATTATTTATATCAAAAAATTTGTTGGTAACATATATACAATTCTTTTCAAATTAATTAACAAACGCTATATTGGAAAATTTTTAATCGCCAATTAGCTTCTCGTTCATTGTACATTTTACCAATTAGATCTTCCAATATAAAATCGTTTAATTAGGTTGTTCCATTATTTTATCCACTTGCCTTTTGCCTTACTCGAGAAGTGTCGACGAGAACATAGCCGTGTAGGAACGTGCTCCACCTAAGAGATACGAACTACTGAATGTATCACGTCTGGAAGTAGTAGGAACTACTATGTGCCCGACTGACAGGTGGAACGTTACTCCACTACTGACCCCCTATGGAAATGATCGATATATGGATGTAGCCACGTATGATTGAGCTGACACTATACAAATATTTCATCATGTGTACACGCGATATTCCGAGCGGTCGGCGGCCGTATGCGCATATTCGGCGAAGATAAAAATTCCGCCGAACCCGTCCTGACCAGGTCATTAGCAAGAGAGCTGGACGGCTACAACGATGAAAAGAATTTATTTCCATCGATCGCGCATCGACAGCCTCCTCGTTACGGGCTGCGTTGTAATTGATAATTGATTAAACGCTACGCGCGACGTGTACTCTTATTTGCGCTAACAGCTGGAAATTGAATCGTGCCATTTTCCAGCGCGTGATCGATTAATAATATTGGAAACCCGCGGAACGATGGACGCCCGCAATAAACGACGTTCTAAAATATTCAAGCTACGTCGCCAATGACGTCCAACGGTATAAAGTCGCCGGTAGACTTCCTGGGGATCGGGTCAGGTGCCTCCATCTCGCGATACGGTACAAAGCACATATGGTAGACAGGTGTGTGTCAAGAATACATAATTTTTTTTTATTATTTTACAGATAACTCAATAATAAAACGTTCCACGTCCCAACTAAGGCTAAGTCGTCTACGCGCGGAATTGCGATGTTCGCTCCGTGAATTCGTTACGTCGAGCTCGAAGGTAGTATTTCGTTACATGTACAGAAGTCAGCTCGACGTATAACCGTCCGATCGACGGGAATCTAATGTACATAATATGGTACATAAGATTGGCGGTAGTTTTATTACCTACGAAAATAATACACGCTCGCGTCTCTAAAGCCCGATGCGGTACGTATACAGGAAGAAGAGAACTCGGGTGATTTGGAATGTGCGATACATCACAGCACGATCGTTGGAGAATAGAGGGTGAGGAAGAGAGCAATGTGGGAAGAACGAGGCCCATTTTTGTCATCGTATGCTCGCTGCTGCTTCGCTCGGAGAATTCCAAACGAAGACATTTTGATACTGAACTTCCGACGCGAGGAGACGAGAAACGGCAGCTTACGTCGTCGACCTCACATAGAACAGGAGATAGGGGGTGGCGGAATTCCGCGCATTTGGTGCCAATTTGTCCTCGAGTTCTCGCAGCGGGATCACGTGCACCGCCTCGTCGTCGCACTCCAGCCAAGTGACGCCCTGTTTATTTCGCCTGATGCCGCAACAATCCATGCTACGACAGCCGACCCTATTCACTAGCTGCTCCTTGTTCTCGCTCGCGCTAGGCTTGCTCCTGAAGTACTTGAGGAGGCCTGTCGCTTTGTCAGAGGAGGAAGACGACGATGACGAGTTTGCGTTCGCGGCGCCCGCCTGGCTCGAGTTCTGCCGCTTATTGTCGCGATCGCATTGGGAATATTCCGCGTATGCAGATTCGTCGGGTAAACGTGTGTAAGCGACGTAATGCCCGGCGGTCATCGTTGCACCTTGGTGCATTATGACCGAGTATAATTTGTACACATGCCGCGTCTCCGTACTGCCACCAGCTGTCGTCCCATGGGTCTCATCGTTACTGCACTCCTCGCAGAAGCATTGCAAGGTAAACGGCGTTGGCATATGATTATTGATTTTCTCCATCGAACTGAAAACGTAAGTTTCAATGTAATCGCGATGCGAATATCGCAAAAGGTTCTTGATCGATGTAATATAAATGTAACTCAATGTGACTCAAGCAAAGTTAAATATGCAATAAACCCTTAAAAAAATAAATAACTAGCAGAACATTTGTAATTTTAATACAATTGTTTATGATTGTCATAAATTTCAAAAACATTTTTCGATAACTTTTACAAACTTTGAGCTATATTTTACTGGTATCAATTTCAATTATATAATATCTGTTGCTTTTAATGCTGAAAGATCACACGAGACTTACCCAGCGGCAGTAGAAAATCTCTTCAACTGCAAGATAAGGAGTCTGGGTAAAGAGGGGAAACATACGGCTCTGCGAGCCTCATTATATCGTAGGCACCGTGCACACCAGTATTTATCCCTACCCCAAAGCAGTTCACTAGTCACTACAGCGCGTTTGTATACCTCACTGCTATCCACCAATTCACCATCATCATCTATGAAGAAAAGTCACATCATTATGAATTGCAAGTAAATTCTGGAATATAAAATACTTGAGCTATGAAAATCTCACAGACAGAGCTTAGAAACATACGTCAAATGAGCTTAAATGATAGTAATAACATATTTCTACTTTTACTTCGCATAGAGCGAGCAAGAACTAATTAAGTGCGCACCTTTCTCGTTTGAACGATCAATGTCAATGGGTACGCATATATCGCAGAAGGTCTCCTTCCGTTCCGTCACGTGTTCGCACTCGAGACACGTTGTGCGCAATAGGCTGACACCCTCAAAATCCTCCGAGATAAAACACTTCTTGCTCTCCGGCTTGCGCATCCCTATCTCGCCGTTACTCTCTGCGAACTCAGCGTGACCGTTCTCATATGGTCTCGTGGATCCTACGACGCCATTTGCGTTTGGCTGCGCGAGAGATACCGAACTCCCCCTGCTCGTAATTTTCTTCTTCTTTCTGGACTTACGGAGGCTCCTCTTCGTAGAAGCGCTCTCCGATTGTGTCTCTGTCACGGCATGGTTTGTGGTAAATTCAGGATAACTGCCATTGCTCTGACCGAATTGGCTCTCTCTGTATCTGACCAACAATTGGAAAGTCTCCCTGATGTTGTCGAGCAAGCATACCAGAAGTTCATGTGCATCCTGCTGCTGATTTCCCTCAAATATCGGATTTACTTCTCTGTAATGAAACCAATATAAGAATAATGTGAACGCAAAACACTTCTGCAATACCTCGACAACAATATACATACCTAAGAGCTTGTAAAAAAGCATCCGGTTGGTACGGTTCGCTGTTCTCTCTCACCTCCGATGCTCGCAATGCCATAAAGAGCTCGTGTAATCTCTCAGTAGCTATTTGAATACGTGGTTTATTGGCTTCTACTGTTGATCCAGCTAGCGCCAGCAGATCTTTACTGCTCCAGCTACGACTACTGCTCGATGTTAGCGATACTCCGGTTCTACCTAATGAAGAAGATTTGGCCTACAAGAAAAATATTGATAATTTCGATATGTATACATTTAGATTAAAAAAAAAAAAACTACAAATGTTTCAACAAATCAATCTATTAAATTTATCTAGTATTTACTTTTGTCTGAAGTTGTTTGTCGTTTAGGTTTGACAAATCGGTGGCTAAATGATGTAAATTGTGCAGAAAGGAAGGCGCGATTCTTAAAGTATATAATACACTATTGAGGAAGCAAGTATTTCCTAGATTGCATAAGGTAGCTATCTTTAATCCTTCCGTACTGGTACCAGACATGTCGTGGCTTCCATCCTGGTGATTGCTCAGCTGATTTCGATAGCCATTCAACATTTTGCTTGTACCTTTATCAAAATCATTGTACGATCAAAGATGTGTCTCTTGTTGAAATTACATATCGGTTGCCAATACAGGGATGGCTAATATCGTTACAAATCAATGAAAGAAGCATACTAAACGAAAGATCTGTTCTATCCAGAAGGCCCCCTCTCGTGGATGTAGGAGGGGGCTGCGGGACGACGATGGGGATTGCACGTCCGCGACCTGACAGGGACAGGCAGAACTTCTTTCTAGGAGGAACGGAGCGTTTATCTGCGTCTTCCTCCGTTTCTAATACTGTCATCTTCTGTTAACCTAAAATCACGCTACCATGTTCTACGTTTGCCATTCCGTCAAACAGACGGGGAACGCGGACGCGTGCACGAGTTATCCCGTCCGTCCGACCTCGCTTCGTCGAGAAGCCTCGGCTCTAAGTGAATCTCGCGGCGAGACGAGCGGTCGGTCGGACGGACGGTCAATCACATCTCGCGCGAACGCAAGTCGCAAGTCGCGTCGCGAGGCGACGCAAGGTGAAGCGCGTCCAAAGTGCGTTCTACTCACGTGTGATCGAGTGGGGAAGTCATGGAACGCGAACGGGCTCGTTTGTTATAATTGTTGCTAGTGCGAGCCAGTTAGATAGTGCGTTCCTACGTTGAGAGAGCCACGGTAGCGCCTGCCAAGACTCGCGGCAAGCTACATGATCAGCGTCCCAAATCGGCGAATCCGCCCCGGTTTACGCCGCTCGCTGACTCGCTCCCCGCGACAACTTCACGCGACGCAACCAGGCACCAGGCCGCGGGGACCGGGGACTCCGGGCAGGAGGGGGAGGGAGAGAGGACTCGCACTTCGCACGCCGCGCCGCGATCGAGAACGCAGAAAACGTGCGTCAGCGCTCCTAGCGGACACAGGGTCAATTAAACTCGCCAGGGACCGTCGACGAGATGCCGGAATTCATTTTTATAAAAAAGATATAATAAAATTTTATTTTATTTTATTTTTGAAATTAATTTTTTTACTCAATTAATTTTAATCTTTTTTTTATATTTTCTTAATTTTATTTCTTTTTATTTCTACGTTGCTTTGTCACTTTTGTCCATTTCCATCTGCGTCTTGCACTAGTTCAGAGTTTATCTTTTTTACTCCACACTGGATGGAAAAAAGATAAACTCTGAATTAATGCAGCCAGTTCAATAACAAACAGATTCCTAAATGATCCCACGTTGCGCGCAAGGAGAAGGTAAAACGCAGCAGACCGAACAAACCTGCATGTCGCGTTGGCCACTTCTGATTGAACGGCACGATATTGCTCAGATTGCAAACGCGCCCTGTCCTTTTAGCGGCGGACATCCGTCGAGTCGATTTCATCGGTTTCTCGAAATGGAATATTTAAGAATAAGTAATTAAATATTATAGGAATCGGAATTAAAAATAATAATTAAACGTAAAGGCCTCCGCACAATAAAAAATATAAGGAACGAGAAACAGATATTAGCGATTAGGACTAAAGAATCAAGAATAATTAAAGTTGGATGATGCACAATGAAAAATACCAGGCAACGGAAACAGGGAATAACACAGACAATGATTTTTAACCTATCGGAAGCCGTGTATTAATATTACACCAGCTTTATTCCTGATTTTTTATTTCTAATCGCTATAAGTATAATATTTGTGTTCCTTATTGTTCCTTATATTTTTCATTGTGCGGAACCCCTAACGCACAATGGAAAAGACCAAAATATAAGATAGGTATAAATATAGGAGTATTCCTACATTTACGTATCTCAATATTTAATATTTATTACAAGAATATTTCTATATATATTCCTGTAATAATATATTTATTATAGATCCTAATATTTAATATTGAATATAACGCCCTTCCGCCGATTCCTTTAAAATTTTGACAAAATTGGTGTATTTTGGGTTGTAAAAAAGATTGAGAAGAAAAAATCGTCCCTGATCATGTTCCGTTTGTTTATAATTAATATTTAAAATATCATTATTCTTATTCCTAATATGGCTCTATTGTGCGCAGGACCTAAGGCGGAAAGAGATTCCAAAGCCGCGTTTTCATCGCCAGCTCCAGGGCAGTCACGTGGTCGGTCAGCTCGGGAACGGGGGGGCGACGACGAGGGGATAGCGCGTGCGCGGGCCAGATTTGACGTGCCGGGGGCCGGGGCACATCATCACGAGCCAATCGGCGTCGGCGATTCGCCGCTTCCCGTTTCCGCCACGCCGGCGCTCGGGTAGCTTCCGGTAACGCCGGATTGATGCGCCCGTCTGTGTCTTGAACGACGCCTCCGTGTGTCGCCAGTTCCTCTGGCGCTACTCTGCGCGCATTTGCTGACACACAGTGCCGCCGATACCACTACTACACACAGTACAAGTGTAAGCCGCGTTTACCCGACGAATACGTACCGAAAACCGCGAACTGTTTTTATAATTGATACACCACGCAACTTGTGGGCTCCGTGTCTGTGGCGTTCGCTCGTTCGCTCGAGGCATCGCCAATCCACCCTCGCGTGAACCTCGTTCGCGACACAACACCGTCGGCTTCCCGCGCGATAAAGCAGCCGCTCTGCCGGTCGTGCCGAGGTGCTCCCTCTCCCGAGACAGAGCTGTGCGTCCCCGTGCCACACGCGAGAGCGCCCGAATCTCCCAGGTAAGGCATCTCCCCCCACGCTCTCTATTGTTGCCGTTTCATCGTTTCGCGGTCGCCGCGAGGACCGAGGTATCGCCCGCTCGTCGAGATGATTGCTCGCTCGCTCGCTCGGTCGCCCTCCTCGAGCACGAGGGGAGCACGCCAGAACGTGGTCGCCTTCCACCGCGATGGGAATCGCGTCGCCCGCTGGACGCGACCCCAGGAAGATCCGACGTGCCCGTCGCGGGGCAGCCCCCAGCCTCGGCCGTCGCGATCCGCCCGCCCGGGGCAGCCCCTCGACGTCGCGTCTCGGCCCGCGTTGGCGTGTTCCCGTGCACGGGGCATCGGGAAACATCGCCATGCTTGCGCGAGCGACCGGGCGCGACCGCGCTCTCTCCGTCTATCTCCCTCTTCCTCTCTCTCTCTTTCTCTGTCTCTCTCTCTCTCTCTCCCTCTCGTCGCATCCGCGCTCTCGTTGGCGTGCTCTCCCTCGGCGACTCGCGGACCTCTCGTCGTCCTGCTCCGCGCGCTCCGGGGATGGGGGATGCCCGGAGGAGACGTCGTCCTGCTCCGCTCGGGGTTGAGACACGTGCTTGCGAGATATACGCCAAGCCGAGCATCCAGCGCGGTGTCGGGATCGTAGAGGAAGAGAGAGAGAGAGGGAGACAAAGAAAAGAGAGCCCGAGGGTGGGGGGAGAGGAGAGGAAGAGAGAGAACGCGCGAGGACGAGAGGTGGTGGCATGCGAAAATTTTGCCATGCGCTCCGCCGAGCTACGCGCGTCGCCTATCCCTTTGTGTTTGCCGCATGCTCGTATCGCTCCGATTATTTGCGCGCTGCGTAACGAGACGGGATTTCGGGAGGCTCGGGGGATTTAATCTCCCCGCGGGTGAGGTTGCCAGGTACGCTTCAGAGACGAAGGGCTACACGCGAGGGATAAACGGCCGTGTGTGTATCCTCGAGGATTCGAGGATCGTACAGGCTCCGCGTGGAGATCGCTGTAATAATTTTTCATCATCGCGGAAATAATTCGTGGCACAGTAGTACAGGCATTGAATAAATCATCCAGTAATTTAAATTTCGATTAGAAATGCAATTGTAAAATATCAATGTGTTTTATCAAATATTTATATAGTACATTGAATATATCTGTATGATTGTCATTGTGTGCACACATGTGCGTGTGTTTAATACATTTCCCAAAATGTCTGCCAAAAATGCTCCAAGATGAAGAAACTGCCGCATGGTTTCTTTCGTATTAATCCATTTTTTCGTAATATCCATTTTTACGTCGCAAAGTTACACACGATTAATAACGTTGCTAAAGAAATTTTGTAATTAAAAAAAATTTTTTCTTTAAAATTTTTATATGTAATAAAAAATATTTTTGTTTTTGTTAAAACAACGTGTTCTGAGATTTTAATTAAATATAATTTATTCGGTTTTATAAATCATAATTAATAATAATAACTTTAATATTGTACTGGTACACACGTTGAATTATTCTATCTATAAGTATTATATTGATACATAAGTAAACTTTATAATATATTTATATATTATAAGTTGTATCAATGCCCTACGCCCTACACAATTTAATAATTTTAGTTTTAATCCACAATTTTATACTAATTAATAATTATGTTGTGATGCCGTCTCTAACGAATGTATTTTTCTCTTTGTTTCAGATATCTGCCTTAATAATTTTAAGATTTTACATTTGAACGTTTAGTTTGCTGTTTTCCAGCGAAAAACAACTTTAGGAGTTAAAAAAAATAAGAAAATGGTCATGGAGGCATCTCCCTCTCCACAGAGTGTCGGTCGCGAGTTCGTCCGACAATATTATACATTGCTGAATCAGGCGCCTGCCCATCTCCACAGGTGAGTTATCTAAAACTATACTTGAGTTATCTAAGCTAGACTTTTTTTCAATTTAATCTGTGCTATAGGTTTCCTATCAGCTGGAACAAGCTCAAGCTTTTAAGATATAATAATAAACAGCCATTGATAAACAGCCGTCTGTCCACAGCTGTACATAACAGAAATCCTATAATAAGAGACTGGCCATAAGGCCAGTTTTGTCAAAATTCTGCGAGAGAGAAGGATTTACGTTTATATCGCTTTCTCTTTCTTTCTTATATCTCTTTCACTTTCTGTTTCTCTTGCTTTTGACAAAACTGACGGACCAATCAAAACTGGCTGTCTTATTATAGGGTCTCTAGCACATAAGTCTCTTCTAATGTTTTCCTTCATAATATTTTGGATTTTTTTGACTATGTAAAACGCGGCGCGTTTGTCATGCGTATTGACGTGTTTGTATTTCTCTTATAAATCTAATCATATGTATATAGGGTGAGGGTCAGGCTTGAACCTAGGATCTGTCGACTACGAATCGACCGCTTTTCCTTGCAGCCACGCGTTATTCCCCGTCAAGGAATATTTTGATCATCGCAATAATTGTTACGAATTTTACGATTAGGTTCTACAATCAACATTCTTCCTTCGTGCACGGCGGATTGGATTCTAATCGAGAGTGTACCCCAGCGATCGGTCAAAAACAAATACACCAGAAGATTCAACAACTGAATTTTCGCGATTGTCATGCTAAAATAAGCCAGGTCGATTCTCAGCTCACTCTTGAAAATGGAGTTGTTGTCCAGGTAAATTATATCAACTTTATATAAGCTAGACCAGAAACGATATGATTACAATTGTATCTTATTAGAATTGTATTAGAATACAATGGCAAAATTTCAAATATGCATTGGGATATTGAATACACTATCTTCAAAGCATTATTACTTTTTTTCGTTCAGTTTTATAGCACAATTCGCTTCTTAAATAATAATTATGCATGCTTTAATTTATTTAAAATAACACATTTTTAGAATTTAATCTAATCTTCTGACATTTGTGATTTTAATTTCTTCAATAAGTATATGATTATTACTGTGTAATTAAATATTTATCTTTGATTATTATGCAGGTATCTGGTGAACTGTCTAACGCTGGGCAACCGATGCGTCGATTTACCCAGACTTTCGTGTTGGCCGTGCAAGCACCTAAAACGTATTACGTGCACAATGATATCTTCCGTTATCAAGACTTGATATTCCCGGATGAGGATGAGGCTGACGTGAGTGCCGGGGATAGTGGTGAGAGCAATGAGAGAGAAGTTGAGGAAATTGGTCGATCTGAGCCTGAGGAAGATGAACATCAGACTCAAGTGCAGCAATTATCGGCTCCTACTCAAGCTGCCGAGCAACAAGCTCAACCACCTCTCATTCCGACCCAGCAACCTCCGCTGCAGCAACAGCAGCCGATGTATTACGCTGCGCCACCTCAACCTCATGTTAGTGTAACAAATATGACATATTATTACAGTCAAAAAATTAACAGTCACTTGGGATTGGTAAGCAGTTTATATAAATGCACACACACAACAGTTCTTCCTTTTTCTGTATTTGGATTTAAAGTAAAGAATTAAGTTTATCTGTTGTCTGATTTTATCTACCATAGGTTATAATATAATTCTGTTCGTAATTTTTTCTTTTTCTTTTTATTGTTAGGTTCATCCAGTTATACAGCAAGTGCTGAATGGAACGGTGCATGAGGAGGTGATCAATCAACAAGCACCGCAGCAGCAACAACAACCGCCGCCACCGCCTCCAGCGCAGCAACATCCGTACATAGCCGAGCCAACTGCTCAATCGCAATTCGTGCAGGAGGCAGAGCTAAGCAATGGGGAACAACCGCAACAGCAGAGCGAGAACGAGCCGCAGGTGCAGACGGAGGAGAGGAACGAGCCTGAGACAGAAACATTTACTGCATCCGCACAAGAGACCGAACCCGAACATCAGGTATCTAGCACCACTGTCAACAGCAGCGGGCCCAAGACGTATGCTAACTTGGTAAAGGCGTCTTTCCCAAGCGCCAATACTGGTGCTACTAGCCCGCAAGCTCCCAAGTTATCTATGTCTCCGGTAAGTTTTGTTTCGTGTAGTGTTATGATTTGCAATGAAGAAGAAGCTAAATAGATTTCTTTTTCTTTGTAGCCACCCATGACGAATATACGTTTGGACGACAGATCACCATTGCATCCTGCAAATAACGGACCGACGTCTATGTCTGTGTCCAATAATGTATCTACAGTTCAGCAACAGGCACATCGAGTGGGCGGAAATCAACCGCCGCAACAGCAACAACATCCTCAACAGCAACGCGTTCCAAGAGGGGGATTAGTTCAAAGAGGTAAAAAGTACTGGGATCTAGTACAAAGGGGGCTAGGACAAAGGGGACTAATACAAAGGGGACCAGGTAAAAAGAAATAAGATAGATCATGCATTTAAAAGGTGGTTAATGCAGAATGTAAACTTCCATATTTAAAATAATATGGAAATGAATTTTAAGACACGATCCCATCAATCTTGGTTGATTTTATGTTAATTATTTTTTGTGTAATTAATACAAAAGTATTAATTACTTTTGTACAAACTTTTGTACTTTTGTATTAATTACTTAATTTCTTATTTTTCTTTTTTTTTAATAAGATTTTGTTTTTTAACATATTATTACATATAATGATATATCTTAGATGGAGAACGACGTGGCACAAGACCAGGACAATACAGCGACGCTCATCAACTTTTCCTGGGCAACTTACCACACAACGCTTCTGAGAACGATTTGCGCCAGGTATTCGAGCGTTACGGTAGAGTCGCTGAATTACGTGTACACAGTAAATCCAACGACAGATGCAAAGGTCCGCAAGGCGGAAATAATACCGCTCGAGTACCTAATTATGGATTTATCACGTTCGAGGATCAACAGGTTGTGACTAAGGTGTTAAATTCCCTGGTAAGTTCGTCTCTTAGGCATATATATCGTCGCGTTCAATAAAGATGGAACTTGTTGCTTTCATTACGGTCGTTGCTTTAGCCTATCTATTATCCTGACGAGAGTGGACAAAAATTGAATGTGGAGGAAAAGAAGGTGAGGCCTAGGCCCATGTTGGATGGTAGCGGCAGATTGAATTCCGGCGATGGCGGTATGCGCTCCATGGGCGGTCAACAACAGCAGCAGCAACAACAGCGTGGACCAGGTAATTTCCGGACTATTGTCCAATTTACTGATTAGTACAATTTATATTTTTATTTATTAACTCGTTATTGATCTAATATCAGGTGGACCCGGAGGCGTAATGAGAGGCGGACAGCATGGTGCACGAGGTGGCCGTGGAGGATTTACACGAGGTGGCGATGGTGGTAGAGGAGGTATGCGACAGCCAGGCAATCCGAGTAATCCGGGTTACCAAAACCGTCGCTAATACCGGCCACAACTATGCAACAGTCGCCCCTTCTAATTTCGTCTATACTGAATAAAGTCACCCGTATCATCACGCATCTGTCATCTTCATTTCGAGAAGTGGAATCCAGGACTATTTCGTATGTCGCACGACCTCATTACCGATGCCAACTCATGTGCTTAAACGTCGCTTGCAACAACGTTTATCAAGCAACAACAACAACAATCGATATTAGCTGACGTAGCTCAAAAAGAAATCGTACGAAATATGAGCTCGAACATGGATGGCGTACCAATCGAAGTCTCGGACAAGGCTCACATTCCTCGCGCGAGACTTTGACCTCAGTGGTGTGTGTATCTGAAATCATCGGTCAGAAAAACGATGATCATCGGTTCGAATTCGTCCTTCGTACATCGACAATCGGGCAATCCCGTAGGACTTTGCGTCGCGAAGTATTCACAAACGCAGTCATAGACACATAACGCATACACATAATACGTGCAGCCGTGCGACAAGTTCAATAAGAGTTCACAGGAGAACGTTGTCGGAGTGTGGCAAATTTTAGTGACTGAAAGAGGCAACGGGACGTGATCTGAAATCGGGAAATTGTGTCGGAACTCTTTGTGAGGCAGTTACAGAGTTAGTGCGCAGCATTCGTCACTCCGCGCGTTTCCTCCGGCTCGCCAAATCGCAGGACGAAAAGGGAGCGGAGCGAATTCCGATGCGCACACACACATATACAAACACACACCACGTAACCAAGCGAGAGGCGACCAAGTGAGATCGAAGCGAAAGAAGGACCACGGAGTGGCGCTGTGACATGCATCTCGTACGCTTTCGAGTCGACTCATCAGCCGCTGACGAAACTGTTCTGTTGCCCCAGGTGAAGAATCGGCGTAGATAGCAATCGTACGGAACGAATCCCGAAACGACTAGAGGATCCCAAGACTGTGTCCCGGTTGCACGCAGCAAAAGAAGAAAAAAAATAAAAAGAAAGGCGGCAATTTCTTTTCTTCTACGATCCCCTTTATTTATATTGCCGATCGCCGATTGACCGGTATCGATCGTAGACAGGACAATGCTTCTAGACTGCAGCAACTGGTCTCGCTGTTTCTTCTCGCTCCATCCGTATATAAGCATACAATCCTGGCCTCGTCTCGTTGCAGTTCGGAACTTTTTGTTCGTCCCTACCTTCTTCCTGGTCTCACCTTTCTTCCCTATCCCTTTTCTTCTAGGAACAATTACATTCTCCTAACATCTTTCTGCGCTACTCTGTTCTCTCTTGTAAAATCTTTCTATTCTACCTCCCTTTCCTCCTCACATACATACTTATTATTACTTTCGTTTGGATAATGTTAGTAAGGATCGCGCGCGCGCATGGTCTTACGTTGTGTCGCTCGATCGTTAAATTATCGGTCGCGTTTTCACGAAGGTCAATAACGTCTTCTGGTAATTGCGGAACTCCCATTACGCCGAGCGTTAAATGTGAACCGCAGTCGGCGCAGAGCGCGGAAATGCGTCCGACGTAGCGACAACGCAGAACATTTCCGCGCTGTGTAAACCATTGCAGGAGCTACATCTTTTTCGAGACATGACGCACCAATTTCTCTTTGGACAATGTTTTATCTATTTGCACTTCTTGACGCAGTATTCGTATGCTGTAGACCGCTTAGAGCATGAGGCGAAACGAGAGTTCTAGTCAGTAACAACGTTCACAAGCAATGCGCGAGAGGGGGTTCTGCGATTATTGAGAGATTGGGCGATGCATCTCTCCTGGCCTATCAGTCTCATTCCTTTACGAAACTATCGAAACTTTTGAAGCGATCGGTTTGAAATCCACGCGACACTGTCGCAGAAAGTAACGTCAAAAGCAAAATTTTAATGTTCTTTTTTTATGTCTTGGAGAAAAAAAAAGGACATTGAGAATTTGCACTTGGCAATAAGTAGTGAGAGAAAGAGAGTGATTGAGTGAGTGAGTGAGTGAGAAAGAGTATGAGAGAGACGGAGAGAGAGAGAAAGAAAATTTATGTTAGTTTGTATTTCTCGTCGTCGTGATCAAGATCATCGTGGAGATTGTTAACGTAGATCACGCACGAGCGCGACTCTACAACTGCAGTAGTCTATAATTGAACGAAAAAAAAAACAAAAAAAAAAAAAAGAAAATTTGTCGTGATACCCCGCGTCTGGGACACGGCGACCGCGTCCCCTCTCTTCAGGGCTTCGCCTCATTTAACGTAATTTTTTTAAGCATGCACTCTAGTGATGAATATTTTTCATGTATAATATTATATACGCAATGTTGATGTCAAATTTAATGAGTCGGGACGGTGACGACATAACGATGACGAGACGACGATAACGATAACAGACTGACTATGATAATGACAATGGCGGCGATGACAACGCGGCCGCTTTAACGCAGGCGCGGATAAAGGGATAGGTTTCGCGTGGCTGCGATTTTTGCTTTTTTAAAAAAAATTAGGGAAGAAAATGTAAAAGGACAAGTAAAACCGACAAGCATCAAACATGCGTTCCCGTCGGACTATGTAACATCTCAAAATCGTAAGCCTATCTATATTTCCGTTATAGGTATTAAAGAACGCTACGTAAGATGTGAACGAAGATTCGAACCATCTCGAATCCTTTTCCTTTATAAGTTAGTTTAGAAACGCGCGGAAAATGTATTTCCGGACTTATGTCGAATAGTTATCACGTAATTGGCACACTTTAATATTGTTAAAAAAAAAAGAGAAAAAAGAAAATTTGATCATTAAATTTAAACCAGAAATATACAGGATGGAGCACTTAACTTTTATCACTTCTCTCTTCCTTACGACAAAATATTGCGTGTGTCTTATGTGATTATGAAAGAGAGGATTGCGAAATGCGATTGAGAGATAAGTCACTTTCATGTCACTTTCATTCAACTATAAACAGATTTTATTCCAATGTAAAAATTTCAATGTACTTGACCTATTAACAATCAACTTGAAAAGTATCCTTCTTTTTTGTATTTTTAAACAATTGTTAATAGACATTTATATCGTTTACACAACATCCTCTTAAAACCATATAAAACATACAAAATACAACACGTTCAACATCGCGCTTATTTATTACAAATTCGTTTAACACTTCGACTGAAATTTCACCCCACAATTTCTTGGAAACCATGGCATCCGGGTACAATTAAGACCCTTGTCTCACGCTTCAGTCACGTTACGAACGACAAATACGAATTAAAGTAAGATAGTCATTCACATACAAGTGCCATAATTCCCAAGGAAATATAAGTATCGTGTACGTATACCGTAATATGTGACAGTCCAAGTGTTAAAGAAAGAATTAAACTCGAATATAGCATGGTGATATTAGGTACAGCTCGTTACTCAGTTAAGGCAAAATTTTTGCAGAAGTGACTTGCACTTTGTTTAGCAGATATATTCGTCGATTTAATCGAGATTTAAATTAATACCGCAGTGGTAAAATGTTTCCCTTTTCATGGTATGTGCGAGATATAAATGTGACACTAGAAAGAGAGACTTCAAGACATTGAAGCGCCAGCAGCTTCAACTTTGTATACATATGTAGAGCATATTTAAATGGATATTTGTATGGCTAAGAGAGAATTGTCATTCTAGATCCTCTTGTACATTAACCGATAGACCGTTCTCCATTATTCTTATCCCAACTTAAGGCCGATTATGCATCCGATAATTCTTTATCAATCATTGTGCAAACAGAGAGAGAGAGAGAGAGAGAGAGAGAGAGAGAGAGTATTTTAAGCTGAGCGACATATGTACGTTTAGTATTTGAAATCGCAGATTATGACTTCCGATTTTCGCGTGCCACCTAAATATAAAATATTCTACACACGCTCACGCGCCGTTTGACTTCACTATCGTCCTTATCCATGTGCATATCCGTGTGTTCAAGTACAACGTGTTCAAAGCCGCAGTTACGCGAGATCATCGCTTTACATTAACTTGAAGGAGAGCTCTGCAAATTTTTAGTATGAATGTTTTCATTTTTAAGTAACTATTAATATTAATAGTAATGAAGATAAATATATAATAACGAATGAAGAAAAGAGAGAGGATATGAAGGAACACACAAATAACTATGTATGTAATAACGATTGAAGAACGGCGGTCGATAAGTTACGAATTTTTGTAGCATACATTTATTATTTCCGGTCTGCCAGGCCAGTTTGTGTGTATACAACCAATTGAAAAACGACGTTACTGCGATAAAAGAGGGAGGAGAGGCTAATGTTAAAAGGAGAGGAAAAAAGTGAAAAAAAAAAACGAACATCAAATGTATTGTAACTTTTTGCATTTAGTATAATATATATACTTACCTTATACTACCAACCCCTATCATAGCATCTCTTTATTTATCGCAACACGCTCACCTGTTTCGCACGAACTTTATTAGCTGGCTTTGCGCATGGAATCACATTTCCTCTATAATCGGCTTTGTCGAAACTGCTGAACACCGTGGATTCATCAGCATTCGACGGCGATTGGACAATAAACTGTACGATGAGGAAAACGTGAATATAATCGACATACACAATTTCTAATTTGTCATAAAATAATATTTCGAATACGGACAAATCTCGGCAAAGATAGATACAGTGTAGACTTTTCATTTTTTCTCCTTATTTTACTTATTTTTCAACAAACTTTCGATATTGGAGCCGCGGTTGAAAATACATTTATATGAAGATCCAATTTTTTACATTTTAGTTTCTGACGTGTAAATTTCTTATTTCAATTAAAATTATACTAACAATTTTTTCAGAACGAATTTAGGCGTAGTCAAAACAAGTTATAATTTGATTATTCATCTGTCGGAGACTGATTCCACCCTTCATCAAAGTGTTTTTGACTCGAATTTCTGATTGCAAGACAGCAGATCAATCCTTCCACGGTGTCAATGTTGAAATTCGTCGAGATGAATGAGAATGTTCGAGATATCACCGAGACGCATCGGTCGTACGCATTGCGTAAGAAATGTGACGGCGAGACATACGCATATGCGTGCGGTGGAAAGATCGGACGGGGGTGTAGGAAGAGAGAAAAACGCGAAAGAGATGAGATCATCTTTCCTCTCCGGCTGGCCGCACGTTCCGCTCAGCGCAGCGCAGCGCGCCGCGATGTGCCTCGCGAACGCAGTCAGTACCGGTCCAGCGACCGATTTGGAGGGCTGTTCTTTTCTCGATCTTTGTTGCCGAGAAAGAGAGCCGAGCGAACGACAGGAGCGGTTTGCGAGGAAAACTCAACGCGAGGTACGATCGGCTTGTGATTTTCTATTTTGCATTGCCTTGCAAAAATATTATTTTAAAAAACTGTGCGGTTTCTATTACGTTTAAGATATTTCCGCGCTCTACCCGCTGTTGCCTTTGCCGATTAATGTATATATATAAATCGTCATATTTAAATAGATACTGCATAGTGCAGAAGCTTGTTTGTGTTGATTATTAAAAATATCTTGCGTGTCTTATCAATTTTAACATATTTTAGAACTACATTAATGTCATATTTAAAATACTAAATCTAAGCAAGTGACGACTCTTACAAGCATATATTAATATCTAATATATTGTTTACTGCAAGTAATGATATTTATAGGGATTCTTGAACATTTTTAATTTGTACACATAAATTATTATTTATTTAGTAAAACAATTATTTTTAGATTTATTTTTAGATGTGTGTGAGTAAAGGACGACAATCGCGCATAGACACGCATGGAAATAAATAGGCTGCCACTAGATAGTTCGCAATCTGAATTCAAATCTGTAAGAGGGTCTTTTTTCATCGTGGAACCTTTTCATGGATGATTTTAGTGGCTTTCTCATTTTAACAAGATGCCTCTAGCTTTTCTGGTATAGAAACTAGTTTCTGCCTCTTGAGTTTACATTGGCAATTTTTATCAGATTGGAAGTATCTCATAGCTCGAGTAAAATAAAATGGAAATTCGAAAGGAATGTACTCCAAATGAAATTACCACGAGAAAAGTGTCTCAACCCGTATTAATTCACGCAGCGTTAATGTGAGTCACTCGCAGAACTGCATACGATGGACGTTTTATATCAGTGGGCGTACTCGCAACTAACACTTATCTCTTGTCATGTATTTCTCGGAAATCGTGTCCTTTCTGGGGCGGAAATCAACATCCTTTGTTCATTTAGGCGACTATCGTGGTATGAATTAAGAAAAAGACGTATTATTGTCATTATGTCTTACGATCGTTGATTGAAAAATCTTGCGTTATGTTTAAAGTTACGTTACGTTACGTCGGTTATTAAGTGCTAGCGAAGTTATGAATGAAGTGAAATCAACTTGTGAACAAGTAGCGTAAATTGGAAGTGCGAAATTCGCAATTTTTCATTGACGACTTAAAATAGAAGTGATGCTCTGTACTTGTTATTTCCAGCGAGACCATTCATTCGACCTCTTCCCCGTGTCGCGATACTATACCCGCTATACCGCACGATATCCTGGGAGTTCAAGACTAAAATCGATAAGAAGACGTTACGCATATTATTTTTTCAATATTTATTTCTTCAAAGGGAGCACACACATATCTATCGTTCTTTGAAAAGCAAAAATGAATAATAGAAATAACGATGAAAATATAGCTATTACAGATAAAATTGTTTCTATATCTGAAAATTTTTTAAATCAATTAAATATCGTTGAGTCACGTACAACGCAAATTCTTGCAACAATCTCTTGCGATCTCGTCTCTCCATGTTATTTTACGGAAACGGATTTACGAGCAATTTTCCATTAAGGGCTATACATACGCGTTCCATACATTTTATTGTTCGTAATAATATCAAGTTGCGCATAAACTTCCGCTTGACGAGGAGCAAATTGAACGAGATGAATTGAATCAACGCATTCAGCTCGAGTATCTCGTCTGCAAACTAGTTAACTTTTAATTCCGCGTTGGTGGAGCTGGCACATAAGATGGATAGGGAAGAAGCGTTCCCTCATCTTGTTCCCCATTTTATGGGATTAGACGTTTCATAGGCGTAATGACTGATTTAGATAGATGAAAGCTGATGAAAATAAAATTTTCATAAACATGACTCTATCTACATTACTGTATTTTATTATATCGATAGAACATTACTGTATAAACGCTTATCCATGCATATTTTGCAAAGCTTTTTATCAATATAAATGCAAATATGTATTTTATTGTATTTATAATGCATATATTTACGTTTTTTTTCCAGAAAACAAAACCGAAAGCATTTTCATATTTGTCCATATTAATTTTAATTCATTAAAATTCACTATTATTCTGCAATTATTCACGCATGCAATTTGCTTTTCATTTCACTGCGCTTTGGAATAAATTGTACCTACTCCTAACTTTTTTGTATATATTGTTAGATATTCAATTACGTAAATATAAATATAATTATAGAGGATCTGCGTATATTGCGCGCGCACATTGATCGGTCTCCACGTTTTGGCCCACGTGATGAGCGAACTCCGTTACTGCGTGCAAAGTTAATAAATAACAGCGGAGACGAGGCTTCTTTCTTATTCGGAAATATACTTTCGTTCCTTTCGTCCACTTGCAGAGGCGGTTCGCCCACGTCGACGAACCGCGCGATAAAAAAAAGGGGCCATGTGCGATTCCTACGCGCGCGGCCGCGTTGGAGAACCGACGACGTTTCCGGAGAACCGCGCGACGCACCGCGGACGCGCTTTGACGCCGAGATGACCGCGCCGGAACGATCGCGACCGGCACGTTCTCCATATAGAGAAGACTCAAGACCTTAACCCGTCACATGGAAACCCTTACCCTCCTCCCGTTCGGTCCGCGGCTACGCGGTTACGTATATTAATAGCGGTCGCAATGAAGTGTTACGCAATTTTTTTGCGGAGTCGCGAATGCTCGATAAGATTAACTTCTCCGAATGTATATATCTCTGCGACACTGATACGACTGATTCAATGGCCGGTTTGGCAATGAAGAGAATTGTGAGAATCAAGAAATTAAATTGGCAAATTAGAAATGCAAAGCGGATTATGTATTATTATTTTTATCTAAATTCATGTTTGATAAAATTTTTTTATTGTTTACGTTGGCACATAAAGATATTGTTCAGATGTTATTCGAATCAAAGATTCGGGAGTAGCTATTACACAACAGATTTTTTTATTTTGGTATTAATTCCGTTTTTCTATAAAATTTGTTTTAAAAACTTGACTCTCTATGTAGAAACCTAATTTAGTGTAAATTGATACAACACATCAATACGCTATATACAGTAATATATATATACAAATGGTTTCGATTTTGTGTCTGGTTCCGATTATTCGTATATCATGTAATCTCCCTATGGTGGCGAGAAACGGAAAAATGGTGTGCTTTGCTCTCCGAATTCACGAGCTGACCGAAATGCCGACTTAACGAACTGCGAACATCTCAAATCGGTAAAAGCAATTGGACGGAACACTCGGTGGTAAACCGAGTAATGTATTCAACACACAACAGGAAACCCTGGTGTTTTATTATAACCTAACGCCTATATACGGTATCGTTAGGATATTTACGTTGCCGCGACCGTATATATATAGACTGCGAATTTCATCCGAGTCCATTCTCGCTCTTTTTTATCCTTTAAACAGTTTAAACGATAGATTGATTGTGTATTAAATAAAAAAGATCAATACGATAAAGTATAATTGGAGTCTAAATAATAGAAACATTCTAAATCTCATACCTATCTTACGAATTGGCGTATCCTATATAGTTGACTTACTTCAAAAGCATCTTATAATTATTAATTACGTAACGTTATTTGTATCCTAAAGAATATTTAAATTATAATGATAAGTGGAACAGGATCGATATGATATATAATCAATTAGAGAAAATGCCTTTTACGGTCAGGACTGGATTGGTTGCCTAATAATATACCTATTATTCGCTTGAATTATATTATCGAATTGACGCGAATAATATTATTAGGCAACCAAGATTCAGTCGACCGTAAAAGACGTTTTCTCTAATTAAATATTTAATTAAAATTTATATTTGGTTTAAAAGTAGCTCGCGTTAGATCTTCAAAAGGATTACCTATAACCATATCTAATCTACAAGGCGAGTTTCGCACAAAACCGCTGACGAAGGCGGCAACTGATCGCTGACGCTACGTTACATGCACGCGTCCTTCGACATTATTGAAAGCGCAGCAATGAAGACAGCGACGTGTAAAACGATTGTATCATCCGCGAAAGGCAACGAGAGCGAAGTGACGAGACGTCGCGTCCGAAGAAAAGGCGCTCGTCACGAAAGCGCGCTCGCGCTCAGACTCATTCGCGTCCGGATGTATCTGAAGCGACTTAATTTTCAAGTATCTGGGTTATCGCTTCGTTGCTCCTATTAAGGTCCCGCGAGATTTATCTCTGGTCTCGCGTTGACCCGCGCTCGCGTTGATCGGCGCGTGCGTGCGTGCGTGCGTGCGTGCGTGCGTGCGTGCGTGCTCATATTACGTCGTCGATTTTTTGAAATGATACGAGTGTCGCAGGGAAATGTGATTCGTCTTTCGTGCCGACATCAACTGGAAACGCCGCGACAATAAAGCGCGAGAAATGATGGCTGATTTATTTACACGCATTCAGGCCCGATTTAGCTCGGGGATATTAACCCCTTTCGGCGCGCACCGAGAGAGACTTGGATCTATTCCGAGAAAAAGCTCGACTTTTCTACTCGATACGCTGCTGTCGCAGCGTTACATACGGAATTTCGGAGCTCTCAGAAGTTTCTAAGTGAATTCCTACTCGAGAGATGAAATCAGATCGACAAATAAGGCTCTCTCATGATTTATAATCCAAGTTTCTGGAGTCTTACTTAGAGAGAGAGAGAGAGAGAGAGAGAGAGAGAGAGAGAGAGGCGGAGAACGAAAATAGTTTACGTTAAGTTCTCTTTCCTGAATTGTGATAGTTAATTCGATCATTATACGTTTGAACCAAACTTCTCTAGAGCGACTCGTGAAGACGTAATGTATCCTCCAATCCCCCAACGAATGGGTTATAGTTTACGAGACTCGTAAATTGTCAGTAACGGGAACGTGTCTGGAATAATAACGATACTATTGCTCCAGATGCTATCAAACTTCGTTAGGATTGAGACCATTTTACTCTAGATTAGATTGATTATTTTAAGACTTCAAGATATAGAAGCATCTCGCACATACTCATCATATCGATTTGTTGCAGAGATCGCAATGTCGACGAAGCTGCAGCTGCTGTTGGTCGCGTTGCTTCTGGCGGTCCTGATAGTGGACGTGTCTGCCCAGGTATTATTAATTGTCTTTTACTAACATATATCATACAATTTTTGCGATTTTATCAAATTTATTGTAGTTTAACAAAAGATATTTAAATTAAAGTATGATATTTTAATTTAATCTAATTTTTAATCCAGTTTCTCTTAAATTTTTTTTCTCGCGCATTCCGCTGTGTCTAGTAAGTAAATCTACTCAAGTTATACACTCCGATTTGTTTTAAATTTGTCATAAATGTTGAAGTATGAGAAATATTTCACTGATGTCTTTCCATTTTTGTTTATAAGCGGTACGAACAGTTAATACCCAGTTAATATTCAATTTTTATTCTTCTATCATTAATAAGTACAATAATGATAATAATAATGCATAAGAAACGCAAAATGCAAGATATAAGAGATTTTAGATCGCTGATTACAAATATGAAGACTTGTAAAATTATTTGTTTAAATAATTGAAAATAAAAAGAAATACGTCAATAACATGTAATATAACAATAATAAGCGATCCAAAAATCCTCCATACCTAACTTATGTTACCTACAATATTACAAAGTACTTCAATCTTTTTTCAGCTTTGTTGTTGATGTTTGTGTGAATCGTTTGTTTGAATAATTAAAAATAATTCATTTTACAAGTTTGATGCCACATTTAAAATCATTTATCCGAATAACTTTTGTAACATACTATATGTCATTATATATTGTATTTCTTTTTTAATTTTTAATTATTTAAATAATTTTGCAAATTGACTTCATATACAGAAAAGAGTAACAGAAGAGCTTAAGATTTTTTTACAAAAACGTTAAAGACCATTTAAAAAACATTAAATTTACAAAATTTTAAATTTTTATATACAAAATATGTATATATTTATATAATATGTACACATAATGTGTAAAAATATTGTATATTTCCGAGACATACTCGGATCCCATAATAATATCAATTAATTCATTTTCCACATCAGTTGAAAGTATAAAGATGCTATTATGTAGATCTACATCAAAGTCGTATATATCAACTTTTAATTTTTTTTTTCGTAAGTTTTTGTGCTAACTAAAAATTAACAAAATGTTATCGGCGTATATCGGCGACAAATAATGCATTTACAAATTAATGTGCGAAGTAACAACAAGCTATTTTAAGTGATTTTCTTTCGTGATACAAGTAAGAAAACACGTGACAAATAGTGATTTTTTCGTCTAGTGTCATTTAGTAAGTCTCTCACCAACCACTAGATGGCTATTATACTCAAGATTCTCTGAAATCTTGGCTATTCCTATTCCAGTTTGACAATTTTTTCGATAACGCTTTCATGCCTGTTTTATAGTATATATGCTAGTTTTCAAAAATCTTTGAACTGACTCAACCATATCTACACTGTAGTAACACTAATGTGTATGAGCTACGTGTATGAATAAATATACGTGTACGTATGCTGGACGTGCAGCACAATGAACATATTGGAACGATACTGTAGAAGAGTAGCAAAAATAACGTCTTCGCTGAAGTAAAAAACGTTCCACATTTTTTTTATAAAAAAAATTTATGAAAGTGTTCTGTTCAGAACAATATTAAACAAAACTTTTTTTCTAACTTTTCTTATATTTTTGTGAATTATATGCATACACAATTATATGCAAATTACATATACAAAGAAACGAAATACGTTGGCAAGAAGCCGAAATACTCGAACTTGGACTCTATAATGACATATTGTATGTTTCTCGTAATAATCTTGATTGTCCTATTTTTCAAAACAGTTGAAAGTTTAAGAGTAATATTATGTAAATGTATGTACGTCACAGTCATGTATATCAACTTTTAATGATCAAAAAATAATAATTTTATAAACCTCTATCGTAGTTTTCTGTGCTAATTAAAAATTATTGAAACATTATGTATATTGAGGACCAATAACGCACTTGAAAATTAATGTGCAAAATAATAACAAGCTCTTTCGAATGACAAGCAAGAGAATTCACTCATGCCTTTCCATTTTTGCCGATAAGCGGTTTTACAGCCAGTTAATACCCCTTCAATTTTCACTCTTCTGTCATCAATAAGTACATTGATAATTCATAAGAAACTGAATGACCGTTTATTGAACCGTTTATTGTTTGAATAATTTAAAACAATTTATTTCACAAATTTGATTTGCCATATTTAAAATCATTTCTCACTCAAATAATTTTGTTATAACATATGTCACTATATATTCCATATTTTTTCAATTTTTAATTAATTCGACAAATAATTTTGCAAATCTTATTTCATATTTGTAATCAGCGATTCAAAATCTCCCATATCTTAATTGTATTACATTTTGTGTTTCTTGTACATTATCATTATCATTGTTGTACTTATTGGTGATAAAAGAATGAAAATTGAAGAGAGATTAACTGCCCGTAAAATCGCTTATAAACAAAAATGGAAAGACATGAACGAAATATTTCTGGATTTCTGGTACTTCTACATACATATGTATTTAAAAGAAATTTAAAAGAAATCGGAGCATATTACTTGGGTAGGTTTACTTGTAAGTTGTGTAAAATATTATACTGTAGTAACATTGATTATACATAAAACTAGATATAACACACTTATAGGAAAAAACACAGATTTTTTAATAATTCAAATATTATGCACCACAACGTGAAACATTCTCAACATTTTCTGTCTTTCGAAGAAAAATGGCAAACGCAAGCAAAACTTTGTGCAGGGCATGTATTATGGAACTGTTCGGAAATAGATTTCTATCGGAATTGTTTAGTTATTTCTTAGATTTTCATTTTGTTTTCTAGGAATAATTAACGGAATAATTCTGATCAAAACCCATTCCGAACAGTTTCATAATACTCTACTCTAATTTCGTACCGTTTAAAATGTTATAAAATACGAAGGAAGGAGAAAGAACAAGAGTATTAATCGAAATTTATATTAATCGGTTTCCAGCGCAGACGGAAATATCGGCGTCGCACGACCACGACAGAGGCACCAGCACAAGATGAGATCATGAACATGCTGGAGGCTGACGAAATAGCCGAGGAGGAGGCGGCGACGGCGGAGGAGGCTGAGGTCACTCTTGAAAATGGCAGAAACGAGGCTGGATCGAAGCAGCAGCGTTTGCTTCAGGCGGACCCGTGCGTGGACAAACATTGCGGCGCTGGTCGTATTTGCAAGGTTCGTCGTCGATAAGACGACTCTCTTTTATCACGTGTCAAATATAATTGCTCTATATTGCAGCACGATGCTGCAGTGAGTCAATATTGCGTAGATGCCAAAAATGCATTAATGAATAGGGACATCATTTTGAACATACATATTTGATAATTTGGTGGAAAATTATTTTTCTTTTACTTTTAATGGAATTGTTATCCTTCTGAATGGGGTGTCATGTAACCTTTGTTTTATTTCTTTTAAAATTAAATTTTTTAAGGAAGCGTTTTTAGATCTATGTTTAGAAAAGCTTTTTTCTCAATTTAATTTCTTATAAGACCTTGGAGTTTCATTGACCTGACCTAGAACATCCTGTACATATGTACAAGGCCATTAATGACGATGTTTCTCGTGAATTTAACGCATGCAAAAATAAATAAGCGCAGCTTGAGAATGCTCTCTACTCTTCCTGATATATTTATCCTAAATTAAATCAATTTAATAAATCAATCTCCTATATCAAGATCTATAAATTCAATATTTATTTGTTTATTCATATTCTTAGACTTTGTGTTTTGTCAACTTCCAATATTTAAACGTGCACCGAAGTGCCGAATGTGGAAGTAAAAAAACATGCTTGATATATATATTGAAATTTGAAGTAAGGATTTCGTCCTCTTTTTAAAGTAGACAGAAACAAAAAGGTATGTGCAATTTCTTCGATTTCAGAACACGGAGGAGGGCACGGCCGAGTGCGTTTGCGTGGAGCTCTGCAACGAGGAGGTCGATCCGCGTCGCAAGGTCTGCACCAACTACAATGAGACCTTCGGCAGCGACTGCGAGGTCTATCAGGCGCGTTGCTTCTGCGATACCGGTGACGCCAGGTGCAGGGGCCCCGACTATCTACATGTCCACATTGAATACTACGGCGAGTGCCGACAGATGCCCGTGAGTATCGTTCTGTCACGTATACGTGTGTGACGGAACGTAATTCTCATGCAAGCAAAACCCTACATTATTTTCACGCAATAAACCGTAATCGAGTAACATTTCTCCGCAACTGTTAACTGACGTACCTCAGCGATTCCCGACTGAAAATGATATTAAAAATGATAAAATAAACTATATCGATAATAAAATATCAAAAGCAATGTTTTTAAAGCGCTTTTCGACTATACGATTTACGATTGCACTTATATGGTATAAACGCTAAACCTTTTAACGCGCGCAGATGTGCAAGGAAGAGGACATGGCCGACTTTCCTAGGCGAATGCGCGACTGGCTGTTCAACATCATGCGCGATTTGGCGGACCGTCAGGAACTGCCGTCGCATTACCTGAAGATGCAACGCGAGGCCGAGACCAATCACACTTTGCGCTGGGCGAACGCAGCCATCTGGAAGTGGTGCGACCTGGACGGTCATCCGCACGACCGATCGGTGTCCAGGCACGAGCTCTTCCCGATCAAGGCGCCCTTGATGGCCCTCGAACACTGCATCGCGCCCTTCCTCGACTCCTGCGACACGGATAATGATCACAAGATTACGTTGATCGAGTGGGGCAAATGTCTGCAGCTCGACGAGGTACCTCCTCTTCCTTTTGTTATTTTTCTTGAGAAATATAAGCGAATATTAAAATCTTGCAAATTGTTTTAATTTATTACGAGGATTCTTGGAAACTTGAATTAATTTTCTAGACGTGATGGACACATACACGTTTCACTCAAACTGTTTCGCAACTACCTTCATATACACAGAAAGAAAGAAGTTTCAAATCAACATTTAAATATACTCGTGTGTATATACACAAGAAATACACAAGAGATCTATAATCTTGAAATGAGTTTATATATTGCGTTAAACGAAGGAAACTTGCTTGAATGAAGTAATTTGTGTTGTTAAACGGAATTTTACATAGCTGTTCAACCAAGAAAAAAAGTTGAAATAAAAAGTTAAAATTCTTATAAGAAGATTATACATTATTGCGTATATTTTTTTATTTAACACTTCTTTTTTTCTGTGTAAATATCACAATTATGTTATTGATATTTAACGTACGCGTTTAAACACATGAATACAATTATCATGAAAATGAAGTTTGTAAAATAAGGATTTATTTTGTTCGTTATTAATTAACTGCATACAAAAAATAAGCGACGGCGGTTAGACAGGCTCACATTAAGATAATCGCTGAGTCTAGTTCTTAAAATAACAAAATAGATTCACATACACACACACTCTTTAGCGACCATGTCAAACACACGCGAGTAATTTTTTACTCTGTATGTAGTTTTTTTTACTTAAACTGACTTTTATATTTAGTTGCGAGCAGCAAGCTTTACATCTCGCGCAAATTATTCTTTTGAGAAACGTTACTACTTAAGAAAGAAAAGGAACATACAGAATATTCCTTCTCTCAGGAAAAAAGATAAAAGGAAATATCTTGCCATACAAATGTAAAAGAATTCTTTATATGGACTCTATTGTGTGTAACATTATTATAAATTCTATGAACAGATGATCTACTTTTTAATAGAATTGTAAACGACGATATCAAAGCTACACGAAGGAATATTCAAATCAGGCTCAATGCATATCCAGCGATAACATTCAAGACGTCGCAATATAAGGGCCTCGGCACAATGAAAATTATAAGGAACATAAGGAATAGATATTAGCGATTGGAAATAAGAAATCAGTTATTCTGTGTTATTCCCTGTTTCCGTTGCCTGTATTTTTCATCGTGCATCCAACTTTATTCTTGATTCTTTAGTCCTAATCGCTAATATCTGTTCCTTATATTTTTCATATATTGTGCGGAGGCTTTAACTTTATTAATTGCAATGGTGATAACGGTAATGACGATGATTTCAGGATGATATAGAAGACAAGTGCGACGAGCTGGCGGAGGCAAATCAGGAAAAATATTAGAGGATCCGCGCCGGATCTTCCTCCACGGAAGGAGGACAGCGCGAGCGACGCGGCGCGCGAGGGAGCGGGACGGGACGCGAGGGGAGCACAATAGCGGGAACGGCGCGGCGGGCGCGCGGAAACGGTCGAGGAGGGCGCGAAGGGCGCAGGTGACGCGCTGGGCAGGGTAAAGCTAGGGCAGGGACGGCGAGACGGGGCTGGGTAAAAATGGCGGGAAAAATCCCCGCCAAAGTACGCGCGCGCGCGTGTGCACCGACGCGCGCCAGTGCGCAGGCCCCGCGCGCGCATCGACGAGTCGATACCGCGCGGCGCGGACGAGAGAGGCATCGTCATCGATGCCGATATACGCACCGGCCTCGTTCCGGCCTGCCAACCCATGCCAACCGACCATCGAACTCTCGACATCGCTCCTCAATAATACAGGCAACGTCGTCGTCGCCCAGCGGCGATTTGATTCGCGAGCCTGGGCTGATCTCGCGACCCGGCAGGGAGAATTCGAATTTCCGCGTAATCGGACGCCCACGTTCGTCGATGCGCCTTGATGCTTAATATGTAATCGCATGATGCAATTAATTCGAATTCGAGCATCACATCGAATGCGACACGTGATTCGCGTGCAAATGCAGAAAATTCGCCCCCTCGGAGGCAAGCAGAAGATCTTACGGGAATATGGAAAAAAATCTCCGTTTCGAGCACCATTCGGATGATTTGAATTCGAATGAAACAAAATTTCTCATTAATTATAAATAGATGAATTAGAACTACTTGTTCAAGCTGCGGATAGAAAGTTGTCATCCGGCGCTTGAAGAAAGGCAGATTCGGCTGGGAATACGCCCGTACACATCGCGAGACTAAAAATAAACACAGGGTGCTCTATCGACGAACGCGCAGATTCGAATTGTTTGAATTGCGTCATGGGGGTAGATGTTTACATTCTTGTTCGCCATTTTGTGATCACTCCGCTGCAAGCCCGCAAATTGCTCGCCTCGTCGTCCTATGGTTCATATACAGCTCATCACTATGGAAATTCTTCTTTCGAGAAAGAATATTGCCGTATTATCATAAAGGTTTCAAGATAAAATGGCCGATTCGCTCGCGCTCCTTTATATAGTATAATTTCGAAGCCATTGTAGCGCACAATTTTCTATATGCGATACTTTTTGTATGAAATCACTGCCTTTTTTCGTCAATAAAGAGATGTAATACTGTTCGTCAAGCTTTTTTTCACGTGATATCACATTTCTTTGACATTACCTCAAATTCATATTTTCTTTTATTATTTTCTTTTTGTCGCCAGAGACACATCTGTTTAAATTTAATTAAATGTATTACGAAATGTTTTACAACATTCGTTTATTATTTTATATTCACGAGTCCATTCATATCCCCGAAATGTAAAAATGTGCCTTCAATTAACGAAAATTATTGATTTTAAATTAATGTATGCTATTGCACGATACTCTTATTAATTATTATCGATAACATTTCACTGATACCGTTTCACAAACATATATCGTGTACCACGAGAATAATCGAACTATCGTTGTTGATAACACAATCGTTACGCGATACTATTGATGTGAAGAACAGATTGTTTATGATGTAATCCCATCTGATATACACACATCTGTGTTTATAATCGATAATTCAAACATTAATGTATAAAACATTTCTTCATAATCATTACATAAACATTACTCTGCTCATTTAATTCTTTCTATATATCGTTCATAAAAATCAGAAACGAGTTTTATACATTGTGAGAGAAAAACATAACTGACATATACGCAAGGAAAATAAAATCGATAACTAAATTTTAATGTATTTCGTGCGACGTATACCATATGCTTGGCAACACCCGACGATATTTATAGCTACAATAACTCATCATTGTAATATTTAAGTTAAGATAATAGATCGTCGGTTAAATACGATTAAGGTATTTGCTCGGTTTTTTTATAGCGAGATACCCGCGCGAGCGAGGTATAGCGAACGCGCCGCGCGTTGCTTTCGCCTCTGTTTACTTCATTTTTATTCATACGACCCGAGCGTGGTCCGTCGAGGGAACGACGGACGTACGACCAGGCACTAGGCACTAGGCAGGCCGAGGCGAGCGAGAATCGTTGGCGCATACGCATGATGCGCACGGGCCACCCGAGACGAGAGCTGACGAGAGCCCCGAGAGCCGAGAGCCAGCGAGAGCCTGTGCGAGAGCCGTTTATCGCTCGAGCGATAACTCGGCGAGTTCGCCGCCAGGCGGCGCCCCGCTCGGCCGCAGCCTCGCTCCTATTAGCTGACGCGCGGTCACGTGGCACGACCGCGGGAGGCGCCCGCAGCGCCAAGCGCATTTGGCGGGCTCGTCGCGTTTAGAAGACGGCGTCGTTCGTGGCTGCTCGTAAGTCTTTCGTGCTGTGTGAAGTGCCGAATATCCACGTCGCGCAATGGTGAGTATCCGCGAGTTTTTGACGCGCACGACGGCCATCCGCGGCGGCCCGCGGTGCCCCCGCGCGCCGCGGACCCTCCTCCGTCCCCTGACGGAGTTTCGCGGCTGGATCTCGTGAATTAACCGTGATTTTCGTGTCCGAAACAGGCTGGCGGTAAGGCGGGCAAGGACTCCGGCAAGGCGAAGGCGAAGGCAGTCTCGCGTTCGGCTAGGGCCGGCCTGCAGGTGAGTCGCGCCGACGTCCAACGACGACGGCTAACGTAACACCCGTCGCGGCGGGGGATCGATTGGCGAACGGAGCACGCGGATTTCCCCCGGTGCGGCACGGCATACACAACACGTCCCGGCACCGCGTCCGCGTTTCTTCCTCCCCGTGCGCTTCGTCGCCGCGACGGCTTTGCAGGTTAAATCATCATGGTTGGCGCGAAAAGCCCGGCCGACTCTCGGGGCGAAGCGGGTTTTCGGCGGCTCCCCGGCCGCCCGGACGCGCCGCGCGGACGCGACGCGGTGCCCCGTTTCTCGGTCTACCCGCGCCGCGCCGAACATTCGAGAAACGGCCGTGCGGAACGGTTTACTTTTCGAATTGCTCGCGTGCGGTCCGCGGACCGTTTTCAAACGCGGCCGACCGACCGACCGGCTCTCTTTCTCTCTCGTCCTTTTCCCTCCGCCGCCCGGGAATAGATCGTTTCGGCGCGATTATTCGACCCCGCGCGGCGACCTCGGCGATCCGCCCGTAAATCTTCCGATCGGTTTTCGCTGCGGAACTCGGGACTTCCGCGCGGACGAGCGTCGCAACTGATCAACGCCGGCCGAAGGCGTCGTTTCCGTTCGCGGCCCGCGCCCGCGGCTCTCACCGTTTGTTGTTTTCCGTTCTCCCCGGGCGATCGCCGCGACCGACGATTGTCATCGGTACTCGCCCGAGCGGCGGCCGGCTTGTTTTTTTTTTTAATCGTATTTACGTTCGTCGCGACAGCGAATATCCATCGATCGCGCGCGTGTAATCGCGTTTTATCCGTCGACTTAGCCCCCCCCTCTCTCTCTCTATCTCTATCTCCTTGTCGTGCCCCTAAGGACGCGGGGTACGATTCCGCATCGGAACGGTCGATCGAACCGACGACGGGGCGCGAGAATCGCAAATTCGAAACGCGGACTCGTTCTCCTCGATCGCAACGCGTCGTTCGTTTTATAATAGTCCGTATCGGATAAATAATTAACGCAAAGGGCGTCGTTTTCGAGAGAGATCATCGCTCGGAGTAAATTTTATCTGCCTGTGAGAGCGCGCGTGGAATACATCCCACTCGACGCGGTATGCAATTTTCGCTAACGCAATTTGACGATCCGTGTAACAAAATTCCGTCCAACAAAACCGATGTTGCGTAATACGCGACGGAAATAAACGGGATGTCCAGCGAGGATTTTTTTTTTCGAAACTCATCTCCACAGGTCCAAATATATGCTTCGATTTGTTATTACTGTAAACTATTAAATAAGTCGATAATTAAACAGTGACTTATTTTCACCGTTCAAGTGGATTAAAATGCGACGAAGCACCGCGGCGGTGCTTTTTAAATTAAACAATCTTTTTAAACGTTTCGAGTATCGACAAAAAAAAACAGAGAAGTGAATAAAAATAACGTGACCGCGAGATCAAGCCAGTGCTGGTTATACGTTATTTATTTAAAAAGTTTCTAGCCCGTATTCGATACGTTATCGACGGCGACGTCGCGTTTCCACGATCGCGATTAGAATTCTTAATTGTAACACCGGAGATCACGCGGTCTTTCGTTTAAATATTTAACTGAACCGTCCCGGGTGTCACGCCGATGAGCAGAAGCCCCGTATCCGTGTTTAACGTTGAATGCGAGATCGGGTCTCCTTTGTTTACAAGGAGACCGACGCGACGTATGTACGTGGGCTACATTTAGCCGATTTAGCGGCAACGCAAACGATGGGCAGGCAGATACGCCACCGCTCGAGTCGATATTCCGGCGCGATAATTTCGTCGCCCAGTAACATTTGGCAAATAAGATTGCTTCCGATATATCGCGCGTTTTCGGATAGAGATTATACAGCCGTGCCTCTCGCTCCGCGAGACGACGACGCTTCGCCGGCGAAAACTCGCGAGGCGAATTATACTTTTGTCGTACTTTGGATTGCGTACAGATCGCGCAAAAATTAAACAAGTATTCAACAAGTCTCGATCGATAGCCGGATATTACCCGGCTGCTTACGACTCGTCGAATGGTGCTTCTTGTGAAAATAAAAGTTCCAGCCAATTGGGTGGACGAATTGTTCGTTAAATCGTTAATCTTATCTCCGAGTTAAATAAACGATTGCAATAAAAATAAAAAAATAAAAAAAACCGCGGGTGTCCGATAAACGCCGAAGCTGCGTTCTGTGACAAATGTGCGTGAGATCCGCGAGGTTTCTCGAGTCAGGTGCGGTTTTAAATTTTCCCGACAACCCGACGGTACACAAAATTCTCGTTGTTATGGCAGCCCCAGTCTCCCTCTGGAAACGCGACGTTTCGACGTGTCGATCGCGAGCCCGGTATCAGCGGTGACAAAATTATTGTGCAACAATATCGACCGCGCTTCAGAGAGAGAGCGAGGGGCGGGGTAGGGAAGAGGGGGGCCAGCCACTTACGCGATCGGCATGGGAGAATCTTCGAGCGAGAATTTTAGAGCAGCGGACGGGATACGCTCTAGAGCGAGGTTCTCAAACGCGTCTCGGGGCGTGCGTCGGATGACGAAACTTCGTGCCAAAAGCTGGAGAGGCGACGGGAGTGCGAGAGGGAGAGAGATAGATAGATAGAGGAGCGGCGGGGAGGAGAGAACGAAAGCGCGTGCAAGAAAGAGAGAGAGAGAGACGGAGAGAAAGAGCGAGCCAAATCGTCCCGCTCGATATTCGTAGCATGAGAACGGGACGAGGTCTGATATTCGTGTGGGTTCCGCGAACAGAGCCGAGAGAAGAGCGGGAATTTTCCTCTCTCTTTCTCTCTCTTTCTCTCGCTCTCGTGAAGGAGGGGAGAGACAGAGAGAGAGAAAGAAATAGCGTTCCCTGCAGCGGAACGACGCGGAATGCCGAAATGACGAGGCGGAATGTGCCCGGGACGTGTTCCGGGCGAGAACGAACGAACGCGACTTCCCGGCGACGAGACGCCGCCGCGAAGGAGGAACCCGGAGCTCGTCCCGGCCGCGTTGCGGGACGCGTCGCGGAAATCCGTGCCGTCGTGTTATCGCTCGATATTCAGCCTCGGCTGAGAGAGAGAAGCTACCGACGCCACCGTGACCGACGGCGGCGGCCGGATGTCACGCGGACGGATAGTAGACGCGAGCCGACCCCGTCCGGAAAACGTTCGGCCGTTACTGGCGCAGAGGTTCCGGCAGAAGTCACTAGACGTGTCTTCAGTGGCGGATTAAGACCCCCAGGCGCGAAGAAAAATTTCGGAATTTTCCAATTATTAGCACGAGTAATCGATATCGTTATTGATACATCGAAATTTGGAGTACTAAATTAAATTTAATTTCCGTTTGTGTCATTCCGTTATACTAATTATAACGCAAATGTAACGCATATTGCAAAATAGCATATAAATTATAAACTAATGTATACCTTGCCGACTAATATCGCGTTAGTTTCATCGCCAGTCAGTTACTACTTATTGTCATGATCACCGATATCGATTCTGCTTGTGTCAAAAATTGTAAGATACACGATCTTCAAGTGATATGAATTTTCAGCGAGCAATAAACTATAGATTTAAG